AGGGGTAATCCACTCTTAATCAAGAAAAGACAAAGCTCTGATATTGTAAGTGTACTCTTGTCAATCTGTCAAGGACAAGAACTCGATGAAAGCTAAAGAGTAAGTGAGACTTTTCTCAAAAAGAAATAGGACAAAATAGAAATATGTATATTAAGAAAGAAACTGGAATGGCTATTGCCAAAATACAAGAAAACTAGAGACCCTTGAAACTAGACTAGAAGCAAGAAAGGAGTTGACAAGAGTGAAGAGGGCTTCACTCTTGCCTCTATATATACTATCTAACTAGAAGCCACGTGGCGATGTTCTATAAGACCTCCAATATATGTTGACTTTCTAGGCCACATGCCTTTGCTTGCAAGGCAAGTTTTCTATGGATGGACCACGTAGTTAGCTTGTTCTTTAAGCTTCCAACATGCGTGGCACATGGCTAACTTGTTGACCAAGTTTCTAACCTAAAAGTCAACTATAGACTCCTATAAAGTCAAAGCAGCGTCTATGAAGCTTCTAAGAAGCTTCTCTAGAAGATATTACACAATTAACCTACTTTTATCTACTTTTACATACTTTTATCTATTCATATAGGTAATTATATGTATGTCCGTGACACAATGGCAAAAGAGTTTTCTAATATCAAGAACCTAAAGTATTTTATATATCCGTAATGATCCATCTTTTTTCTTCACAAATAGAATTGGAGCTCCTGCCGGAGATTTAGAATGGCGTATGAAATTCTTGTCTAGATTTTCTTCAATATACTCCTTGAATTCAGTCAACTCATTTTGTGATAAACTGTAGATTGGTCCGAATGGCGATTGTGCTCCTTCTTGAAGGTCAATTGAGCAATCATAGGAACGATGTTCCAAGAGTGTATCCGCATTCTTTTTTTCAAATACATCTTGAAATTCTTGATATTGGCTTGGAATGTCGCTTGAAGTCTTTCCACCAGTAGAAACAGGTGTGGCATAAATAATATATGGTGATTCTTTCATAGCAGCATGCAAGAAAGCTTTTGCACCTATAAATACGGGTTTAATTGAACTGGACTTATGACTCTCTACTTGAATAACTACACTGTTAGTTATACTTTTAGAGAAAGTAATAGTTTGGGAAATCCAATCTATTTGAGGGTTATATTTTTTTAACCACGATAAACCTAAAATGACTGGATTAGAGGGAAATCTAATGATATTAAATACTATAAAGTTATTATGACTATTGATTATTACTTTTATAGGAAGGATTTTATGAGTAATATCTCCAGAAGATAATGGACGACCATCTACGACTTCTACATGAACAGGTTTAGTTTTCTTTACTAAAGATTTGCTATGTCTTTTAGTAAATTCTTCATCTAAAAAACACGCCGAGGCTCTTGAATCTAACAAGGCAAAGGCTTTGTAATATTTAGGTCCTAAAATAATATTTAATGTAAAACAAGGAGAGGGCTCTGAGGAGAGAATAAGACCTTTACTAGATGTTGTATAAGATTCCAACCGCACGGTCCCTATTGTAGCTGGACAAACTCATTTTCCAACATATTGTCTTCTTTCACAGCCGTACTCCTCATTTTGTGATTGTGTCATTTCTTTGGACAATGTTGAGCAGTGTGCTTTGATTCTCCACAATATAAACATAATCCTTTTTGACGACGATGAGTCTTTTCTTGCTCAATAAGAGGTTTGAAACGTACTGCATCAATTTGCATATCCTCTACTTCCGAATGTATGTATTGAAGAGGTGTTGGTGTTGCCATTGAATTATAGTAACATTGAGGTCCACTTGTACGGTTCTCAGATCGAAATTCAAAAAGGCGATTATCGCACTTTACAACAAAGTCAATTGCTTGACTCAATATTTGAGGATCAAGTAAGTTGAGTATTAATTTTTTTATCTCATATTGTAATTCGTAGAGAAATTGGCTAATAAGTGCAACATCATCCCACTTGATATCAGTTGCAGGTTGTCAAAATTGTGAAGCGTACAACGTTACTGATCAATTGCCTTGTCATAAAATACGGATCTTATTGGTTGCAACATGAATTACATCATGTTCTCCATACATGGATCGAAACTCTATCAGAAAAGCCTCTAAATTATCCAATATTGGATCTCGTCATTCAAGAAAAGATGAAAACCATGATAGTGCTAAACCTGAAAGAAGCGTACTAATGAATCTAACTTGCGATCTTGGAGTTGGATAGCTTTGGGGTTGAAGTTCAATCACAAGTTGCACTTGATTGATAAATCCTCGAAACTTGGATCTGGTGCCATCAAACTTCTCGACTAGGATAATTCTTGGTTCTCTAATACTAGGAGAGTGTTCCACCATAGAAGAAAGGACATGGTTTGGTGTAGATGTTGAAGTAGCTCCAACCATTTCTATATCTTCACTTCCTGTCAATCTTGTTGCTTCTTATGATGGTAAATTGAGTTTATGCATCGCAAGCATTAACTCCCTCAATTCCTCTTGCATTTGTGCCATTGCATTCTTCATTTCAACAAGTTCTGCCATGATAACACTTAGAAAAGAGAAGATGTCTAATATCGCTGAAGACAAATAGAAGAGAGGACTTGAGAACAAAGAAAATACTAAGGACAATATCAGTTTAGAAGAGGGTAATCCATAACTTCTAATATGCTTATATCTTATTAAGAAAAAAGGGTAATCCACTCTTAGTTAAGATTAGACAAAGCTCTTATATTGTAGGTGTACTCTTATCAATCTGTCAAGGACAAGAACTGGATGAAAAAGCAATTCAGACAAGTGAGCCTTCACTCAAAGAAAGGTAACAAAATATAAATAAACAAGTATGTATATTGAAAGACAAACTGGAATGGCTATTGCCAAAAGACAAGAAAACTAGAGATCCTTGAAACTAGACTGGAAGCAAGAAAGGAGTTGACAAGAGTGAAGAGGGTTTCACTCTTGTCTCTATATATACTATCTAACTAAGGGCTACGTGGCGACGTTCTACAGGACCTCCAATATGTGTTGACTTTGTAAGATACATGCCTTGACTTACAAGGCAAGTTTTTCTATATGTGGGCCACATAGTTAGCTTGATCTTCAAGCTAACAACATGTGTGGCACATGGCCAATTTGTTGACCACGTTTCTAATCCAAAAAGTCAATTAAAGACACCTATGGAATCAAAGCAGCGTCTATGAAGCTTTTAGGAAGCTTTCATATTAAATACTATAGAATTAACTTATTTTTACCTACTTTTACTTACTTCCAGCTATTTATGTATGTAATTACTAGCTTACATGAGTATGTCCGTGACAGTTTAATGGAGTCTTAACTAAACCTTAAATAATTCTTATTAATCTTAATCAAATTTTAATCAATCCAAGTAAATTTAAAAGATGTTACAAAAGAAATATAAATAAGTCATAAATTGATTTCAAAGAAATATAATAAAGAAATTAGAATGAAATATAAAAATAAACCTTAAAGAAATATTATAAATAGAAACTTTAAGAGACATAATAAAGAATCTTAAATATATGGAATTTTGTGCCTTAGGATTTGATTTTGACCTAGGTTCACAACTAATCCTCTCTAAGTTTCAATTTTTAGTAATTTGAGGTAATTTTTGCTTAAACCTATTATTAATTCTCTCCTAAAAATGCCTATATTATTTACTTATCTTATTTACTTTGATTTGAGGCTTTTGTGTTCTTACAAAGTAAATAGAAGTCCCTTCTATAAAAAATAGTATTAAGACTAAATTTTTTACTACCTTTCTATCATTTATCCTTGTTTTTCTATTACATCTCTCTACTAGGCTCTTCTATAATAACATCCATATTTTTATTTTTCACCATATAGTTGTATTACTACACAACAAAGTATATTGTTTTTTTTCTCTTCTTACATAAACTCTTTATCAAGTTTTGTATCAAGTTTATAATGTCATTACTCCATGCAACCAATGTCACAGAATTTATCTATCAAAATATACATCTTTTTGAATTCTTATTCATGTTATAATTTATGATATAAAAATCAAATAAAAAAGAATATTTTATTATCATCATGAGTATTTTGTGTAAGTACTGTTCTAAAATGTATTATATACTTGATGATCATCTATTTTAATAGTTAACAAGACTTGAATAGTAATATTTTAGTATTATTTGAAAATTTGCTGATATACTTTGGTTTTTTTTTTTTTTTTTTTTTTTTTTTTTGATTTTGCAGCTTCTAATTAGATATTTTTGTTAAAATGACATTCTTTAAAAAACATTTCATAATTTGAAAAACCGATAATTTTTTTTTAAGAAATAGAGACTTAAAAAAATCCTGTTTAAATTAAAAATAAAACATTTGTGCTTTTCAATGTCAACTTAAATGCTCTCCTAATTAATCAGAATACTTCATAAACAATGGAAAAATTAAAAGTGAAGTATTACTGTCATTATTAAGGTGGCTGTTATATATATATATATATATATATATATATATATGTATATATTAGGAAACTGTCACCAATTTCAAGCACAAAATTAATTAATTTTTTTTTGCTTGAATTATTGAAAAATAATGATATTGTAAGTTCTAAAAAGAGATATATCTCTCTCTCTCTCTCTCTATATATATATATATATATATATATATTTATGTATGAATGTACATATATGTACATATTTCCCGAACGGTGGAAAATGTGCTCATTCAAAGATAGAAACATAGGTTTCTAAAAAGAATAAAAACAGGCCAAATTGAACTAGTTTATGACTTGTTATGGGTGTCGGGGAAGAGTTAACTCCAATAACAATCAAGCCCACAGATAATTACTTGGTCCAGAGTGACGATCATGGACAAGGACGTTACCCCAACTGGAACAGAACTCATCCGCAGTTCAAATATTGGATGCAATAATATGGTGCGGCGCGGAGTTACCGCGCTTGAGAGCGCACGCTGTTTCACGCGGCTGGTGACGTTGGGCTATGACACAGCCTGCGTCAGCCCCGGTGACCCTCCCTCCTCAACAACCGTGCTGCCGAACCACACCTCCTGCTTCGTCTTCTTCTTCCCCCTCGTGCCAACTGCTCTTCACTGTTTTCCACTTCATCTTAATCCGGTGGCTCCCTTCCTTCCATGCGCGCGCGCTTTCGTTTCTTGTCCCGCCCTCCAAATTTCAAATTGGCTCTGCAAAGAATGGCGCACATTGCATGAGTTTGAAATTGGTCCAGAGCTTTTCAATTTGTTTAGTTGTTGGTTCAGCAGGCACAAGTGTGACGTTGATTGTTGTAACATTTTCTTCTGGGCGACATGCGAACTGCAGGGCCGCGGATGGATTTAGAGCTCGAGAAGGGGTCCTTTGTGAGTACTTAAGCGCTTAACGACGATGTTGCTGATCTCATGAGGTAATTTTGCTGCTGCTGCTGCTGCTTGCCATGTCCATGTTGGCTTGTTAATGTTTTTCGTAACTCTGGTATCCTGATATGTACTGCGAGGTTGTTTTCATGGAGCTTGAGTGCAGGTTAGTGTCAGGGTTGGAGAGTGGAGAGTTGAAGTTACATGAGGCGCTGTAGTTGCAGTGAGATTTTATCGGTGGGGGGGGACTGACCTTTGACCGCAAGGTCTGTTGCTTTCCCAACGCTTCATATGGTGATTCATGTTAACCGGTGACGACGATTTCAAAACGTAGAGCATTTAACGGAGCGAAATCTTTGGGTATCTGTTTGGAGAGCCGCCCCTTGACAGTAGCTCATTAAAGGCAATGTACGTCCGTAGGAATCTTTGGACCGATTTTGTTCGTGTCATCTCCAATTTTTTTTTTTTATAAAAAAATCCTTCAATTATGCACCCATACTTATTCTATTCTTCCTTGCGAATTTGAAGGCTCGCAAAACGACGGTTCTTACCATGTGAACTCCCGTTTATCTATATTGGGCTTCTCTATGGTATCTTGCGTTTTTCTGTAACGTGTTCATGGAGATAACGATCCCTCATGAAGATCTCGGGAAAGCAGAATGATCCACACATACCCATTGCAGCGATAGCTGATACAGAGTATCAGTAGAGCTTTTGGTATTTCCGTTATGGTTAGATTATTTTTCCAACGTCTCTTGTTTGAGTGAAATATCTTTTGGCCAAATGTTTCTGATTCTGACAAGTTTTATAACACATGATGATTCTTAGCTCCGAAGCGATCTGCCCAATGGGATTTTCATGTACCTTATTTTAAAGAAATGCTGCCATGTCCACTCAATGCAAAGCCGACGTGTATCTTCAATATTGTTTTTCTTATTATTGATGTGCTTGTGAAACGGGTCAAGCCAAAGCCTCTACTTCTTAATAATTTCCAGACATCAATACTTGCATGTAAGCATCCTGAAGAATTTTCCAAGTTCCACTCTAACTAAATCTAAGTAATGTTTGAACTTCAGATGGCCACCACCCTCGCCTTGATAACCCTGAACTATTCTGCCGGTTGTTAACGGGACATTTCCTCCTGGGCTCCCTCTAGTTGGATTTACACGAAAAGCTGGAGGACGAGGTCGAAAGGCGACAATGAGAGAAGAGGAGGCGGGTGCGCGTTACCTGAGTCCGCTGGTGAAACAAGATTTAGCGAAGCTGTACTTAGATGGGGATAGCCGTCGATTCGCTCTGAAATCCCTCCAGCATATCATTGAGCAGCTGGATGCTACTTCGATGCCCAAATTTCTTGGCCAGGTACGGAATGTTGATTTTGATCTGGAAAGTGAGTCACTTCTACGTCCAATTCCTCCGTATTCTAGATTCTGTCCCTTGCGCGCTGTTCGAACTCAGGAAACTTTTTTCTCCGAAGTTGAGGCTGATTCCAAGTGTTGTAGCCACTGCGAAAAATCTCTGGGTCCAATCGAAACCTCAGAGCGATATTCGCATTTGTTCCTTTTCCTGGAATATACAACTGTCAAATTTAGGAAATTCATTGCAACTTTCTGTGTTGCAACACAATCATGCGGAACCTTTGTGTGTCTGAATGCGCACTGTTACCGATGTCAGAATTGTCGTATAATTAGTTAACGCACCTGTTTCACCAATATATGTGTTGAACAGTCCAATGCCCGTACAATTCTTTTAATTGATCCTGAAGGCTGTTTAATAACAGGATTTCTACACATCTTTGTGACTCTAGTGTGAACCCATTGGATTACTTGCTGTAGATTGCCGACTCTCGTGAATTTGGCGGATCAAAGTCTTATGCTATCTCCCTGTACGAGGAAGTTGCACGGGTACACGGAAGACTTATTAAGCCATACCTTCCTAGGGTGATGTCTTCCCTCATTCGAGCGTTGGCGGCAAGTGGGAGTTCTCCCCAGCTGCAACAAGCATGTGCAAAGGTTACAGTAGCCATGGCGCGTTACACTATTGACCCCTCAATGTCCATTGAAGATGCTGAGGAGATTATCCGAGGAATTTGTGATCCTCTAGCTGAAGCTCTTGCAGGTAGTATACATTCAGGATTGTCGAATGGATTTTGTGATCCGCTGGCTTGGCATTGCTTTTCTTAAGTAACAAACATATTACCAAACCCCTGAGACACATAACTAAGAGATACGCAGGAAACCTATCCGATACAGCGTAGGATGGAATCGGTATCGGTTTATGCTTGGCTGTGCGTTGCAGTAAGAATGTGAACCTCTCTTGGACAGTGCAATAATTAAGGTTCGATTTCTTCATGATTTCTACAGGAAAGTTGGAGCCTGTGGCAGCGGGGGCTGCTGCCTGCATCCATGCCCTCATTGAAACAGAATATTGGAGATGTGCTTGCAATGGAACAGTGCAGGAAGTGTACCAGCGCTTAACTGTAGCATTAAGTGAAAAATCAACACGTACGGTCTTTCACTTGCACCTCGCTTCTGCATTAGCGTCGATGAATCCCGACACAGTCGGCGTATATGGTGCACCCTTGTTAAGGGTAGGCGAGGAAACTCTGAAAAGTGCAGTCGACTCTTGGCAGCATCGTAAGGCAGCTGCTAAGCTACTGCAGGGGGTACTCACAATACTTGATAAGGAGACATTAGAAATCGAGCTCGATTCAGTAATTCGTGTAAGTTTTTCAATTATGGCTTTAAAATCCAAAGTTAGCTGCGCTACTAATTCCATCAGTTCAATTCGATGTCCTGACTATGTGTGAGTCCTCATGACCGAATTTATTTCCTATTTCATATATCCTCGTTAGAGATGCGTATGTGCTTTTGAGTTATTTTGCAGCAGGGAGCTTCCGCTCAAGAGTACCTCTGAACGAGTGGTTTGTAATGTGCTCGTTTCATGGTGACGTGCATCTGCCATACACTAATGAGAATATTGCCTACATCTTTAGGCCTTGGAGATCTGCCGCCTTGATAAAATGCCGCATGTAAGGGCAGCTGTGAGTGAAGCCTTGTATGCAGCTAGAATGTTAGCTCCTGGTGATTCTACTCAATCCTGTAGTGTGTTAAGTGGCCATATTTGCACGCTAAAAGAGCAAAACCGGAGCTCGTGGACTAAAGGGATCACGGAGCAGACCCACAATTTTTGGTCCAAGGAAGACGTTTTGAGCTCTCCGATACTGAAGTGTGTTATTAGTCCAACTTCTCAAGAGTCAAATCAATTGTCCTTTTCGCCAGCAGCTTCAACGTCAACGATGGATTCTATGCATATTAGACAAGTTTCGACCCCTGTGCGGAACTCCAGTGGAAGGTCGAAACGGACACCTCTAGATCCCACAAGAGGAATGGGCTTCTCAAGGTCACCTGGGTGCTGCTCTCCAGGCGCGGTTTCTCCTTCGGCTTGTTCTGCTGATAAGTGCGAGCAAAGCTCACAGAAGTGTGGGTATTACAATCCTTCTTTTCACTGTTGCTTTGGGACCTCCAATTTCCTCCCTTTCTTCTTACAACTCATCGCCTTAGCACTATTTTATTTCAGACCAACATGTTTTGAAATTTTCTCACTTTAGAGGATGTTTTCAACAATTTTTCTGAGCAGTGAGTCATGATGCACGGCATAATCAATTGTTTGCGCCAATGAGGTCGTTTGCTGCTAGACATAACTGCATGTGATTGTAGGAATCATCATCGTTTGACGAAAATTGGTACTCTATATTTGCATATTATTCTGCCAAATTGAATGTGTCAATCACCCTTGATTTGTGTTTTTCATTCATCACAAAACTCAGACTTATCTAAAACTCCTGCGTCTCTTCATTATAAACATAGAGGGTGGGGGAAGTCCATTGATTTTCCTGGATGCAGAATTGAATGGTATGGTTTGGTGTGGTGCTGGGCTGTACAGTGGACTCGAAGGAAAATGTGCTGACGAGGAATTCGAGTGTGAATGCGTCTCTGGAAGGTGAAGGATTTGAGCATGCTCAAGTTCAGGCCAAGTCAACGCGGGCGTCATCCCCTTTTACTGATTCTTACAATTCTCTAGCCTCGAGCCAACTAGATGAATTCGAAGTTGACATTCATACACCGGAAATGAAGGAAAGAACTCCTACCGAGAAGTTTGAGGATCGATCTGCTTCACATGATGAAAAAGAGATAGCAATGACGTCAAATTGTTTGCCCTCTGGGCATATGATGAGCCCCATTGTTTCAGCAATATTGGATGAACTCGCTGAGACTGCATCAAGCATATTAGCTGAGGATGATGCTGGGCTTGCGTTACTTGATAGCCAAATTGAGTCTTGTATTCTGAAACCAGAGTTGAAGAATCTCCCTAGATTGCGGTTGGGATGCTTTAATTGTCCTGAAGCGCACTCACGAAGTGGCTACGCTGTCGGTGCTGATAACTCGAGTAAAAACTTTCCAAGCACAGTAATGCAGACTCACGAACAAGGTCCCGGTGGTTGTATCCGAGATGCTAACGGATGCATGGTGAAGCATGATGGAGTGAAAGGAAGGAACATGGTTTTAGCTGCTGCAGGCACTACTCAGGATTTTTCAGCTTCATTAGAAGGAAGAGACGAGAAATTCCTTCAAGGATGTGGCTTAGGCGAAGAAAGTGTTCCGAAGCATCACAATGCAGTAGCACACCTTGGCCTCAGTCCCGAAGAGGTAAGAGAAATATAGCGGAATCCTTATTTAACATTTTCTTTTCTCATTTCAGTTTAATTTATATTTCTACCGTGCATGTGCTGAAAGAATCACGAAGGAATTTCTTGAGAGGGTTGAACTGAGACTAATTGGTTAGACGAGAAATATTTCGAATCTCCAAACTGATGGTTTTATATATGAGGTTCCAAATGATCGCATAAGAGAGACTCTTCTGGAGAAAAAAGCCACTGTAGTTATTGATCGAAACAAATATTGAATATTGTCCCGAGCATTACTGACTACTCTCTGCTGAAATCTACAGAAGTCAAAGCCGCTCATCACCACAAATGACTTCCTCCCTAGTGCTACACCGAAACAACTCATGCGTAAATTACTATACTTGAATTCCTCAAATACTGATTCTAGAAGGGTCTCCTTGGATCAAGAGGTAGTGCAATGTGAGGATGGAGTTCCAGATGTGGTTGATATGGATGTTGAAACCTCAAGTGAAGCGGGTTGGAGTGTTCGTGACAATCCAATAGCATCTGATGAGTCGTTTCAAGCTGGCATTTCTGATGAAGACGAGGATGAAGACAGACAAAAGCAACCTGCCGAGGTTATTCGGCAACCCCAAAATTTCCTGTCTAGTGACTGCAATGGCTCTCGAGACATTCACATGCTCTCTCCTGTCTATCGCGAGGCCCGGTCAACCAACTGTACAGAGGGGGGGTTTCACCAGGAGAAAACTACTGATTCCACATTTCAATGCATCAGCAATTTTCCCTCGTCAACATCCACTGAAGCAGGCTATTGCAGAAATTTTTACGAGGATTGGTTTACATGCAATTCAGACTCTCAGAGAATTATGTCAAGCGAAACACTTGCATCTTGTAGTCCAGTTTTCAAGTACTCGAACGTAGACTCTTTTGGGTATATTTCAAGCGAACTTGTGGATGTACAACACGATGACAAGGTCGAGAGGATTGGACCTTACAGCAATTTCTTAGCTGTTGGTGAAGGTACCACAGCGGTGGAGTCTCATGGCAGAGAGTGTTACAGACTAGAATCATCAGGGAGAAACCCACGAAGTATATTCGACAGCTTAGACCTTGGGCAATATGTGATCCCGCGGGCGTCGCTGGCCAAAACATGGAGGAAGTTCTGCTGGTACGGGGAAATCGTCTTGGGTGGCACTTTATGTCTAGTGGTCACGCTTCCGTTGGCCATGGCCCTTGCGAAGACTGTGACTTCACCTTCAAACTACCTCGTTCCCACCTGAAGGGAATATCGAAGAATTTCATTTGTCGACTCCAAATCCGTGCGCATTTAACTCCTGGTTGTGACGACTCAAGTAGGTTAAATCCTATAAGTATGTACGATATGATTGCAAAGACGAATGATCCATTAAGAGGGGCGAACATAGCAGAAGTCTTTCGCTTTGTTTTCTTTTCAATTACCATGCCGCTACGCAATAACATAAATATGATAATCAAAGTATTCCAGGTAGAGAAGATACACTTTGATGTGCACTATTATACAAAACGATTTATTGTGGAAAAGCTTTACTTCTATACAAGTTATTTGAATTTACTTGATGCTTTAATAAATTACGTTTTTTAGATTTCATTTGGAACAGTGAACATGATTTAGGGTTTCGGATTAAAGAAAACTAAAATATTTCTTAAAAAGTAAAGTAGTCATAGCTAACTATCAGGTCTTAAAATGATCATGTTTGAAAAGTACTCCACAATGAAAAATTTAAAGGTAAAACTGCCTGAATAGGGTGGTAGAGATCCAAATGTGTTGTATTTATTTTTCCTATAACTTAAGCATCCACAAAAAATTTAAATCTTTCTATTTTTTTAATTTATAAAATAGAAAAAGTGCCTTGACAATTTAAACAAAAAAAAAAATTCTAATTGCAACTTTTAACATTGTCACATGCTCACAGAAAATGTTCCCCACAACAAGTATAAAAAAAAATTGATTTCTTTTTGTTATTCCTTGCATTTCATGAGAGGAGTACATTATTATCTCAACAGAACCATTTGGAACTCTTAAGTTACAGAAATAAAACCATGACACTTTCAAAAGAAAATATAGTCCGCATTCAACATACATACAGGCCACAGCATGCACCACACTACATACATACATACATACAAATAGTATAAATACACTTGTAGCTATTTCTCCATGTCATTTTATTTATTTGAGCAGTTTAACAGAGCCCCAAGGATTCTCCTTCCCAAAGATGGCATCTCAAAATAGTAACAATACCCACCACACACACACAATCACTCACTGGTGTTCTAAACGGAGAACCCCCGAAAGAAGGCCACACCCGGGGATGGGGACCTCTAGGGGGGATCCATGACCGGGGTATGCAAAGCCGTGTGGAGCAGGCAGGCAGGCAGGCAGGCAGGCAGGCAGGCACTGTGATATGAAGGGAGCCTGACTCTAAAGAAAGAGGAAGAATCAGCGTTACGATGAATATGTATCGTGTCCACGAACACGCAAATCGCCATCCTCGCAGAACAGAAAACACACCCACCCACACCCACACCCACACTGGGTGCAAATTTGGAGGAAAACTAGGCTTTTTTTCTAGCACCCCCATGAGAGCACTGCCCTCTTTAGAACAAGTGTTCCGAGCATGATTCAGCTGGGAAGATGAAGAAGCAGAGCCTCCTTCTCGGTTTTGCTATCATACATACATACAAACAAACAAACAAACTTGGCGATAGAGGCTAACATCAAGTTATGGGCCAAAGCACACCTAGTGACGATAAAACGAGAGCCAAGGTTAATGCTGCTGATGAGAGTCTCCAACTTGGTGCACCAGAACTGGATCCCGTCGTCGGTACTAACGAGATTGGGAACCGGCAGGCGCCTTGGGAAGGATTTTCGGTGACAATCATCGCGTAGCCTTGGAAGTTGCAAGCCCCGGGATCCTGGCTCATGGCTTGGAAGTAACTGTTGAATGCGTATGATGCGGGCTCCGCCAGAGTCGCGCACGTCGATCCATTGTTCAAGGCGGTGCAGTCCGCAATCCCGCACGCGTAATCGACGTTTTGGGTTAAATTTGTTCTGTCGATGACAGATGTGTTCAGTACGCAGAACTGCTCCGCCATGTAGGGTGGGTTGACAAGGCTCTTAATCGCTGTCGCTGCGTTGGTGGTGCCGCCTGCAATAAGGGGGAAGAAGAAAACATCAGCAGAGTGGTTGTTGCATCTTGTAAAACAAGCTAGTACACGACTGTCATTCCAAAATTCGATCATTGTGTTTAATGTCATGGTCGAAAAGAAAGACGATGTCTCGTTTGGTGAAAGGAGACCTACTTGCAAGATTGAGAGGATACTTTGCAACTCCATCGTAGTAAAACACCCCCCAATGTCGCTCAAACGGTCCTGGAGCAATGCTCTTGCTGTTCTCGTCCAGGAGACCGAAGAGATAAAACTCGACGAAAACGTTAGGCCTTAAAGGCGTCCCTATACCACTCTGCAAATGCGTGATCATGTCTTGCATATATCTTCCCGCAAGATCCACAGTGGCAGAGCGAGCACCATCAGTGGGCCATCCTATCTCCCCAAGCATGATTGGCATTGATGGATACCCTGCCTTGGAAAGCGCCGAAGCCAACCCATCCAAGCTGGCGTCAAGTGCATTTTGGTAAGTAATTGCGCCATCGACATTGGGGCTTGTGGTTCCACTGAAGAATGCGTAATCGACTGGGTATCCTGAATCCATGTATAAACTAATGTAGGGGTACAAATTCATGCAGAACGGTGCTCCTGTGCGATTCATAATCTCCAACATGGGCCCTATTTGAGCTATGTACTCTGGCTTGAACGTAGTTGCGGAAGGCTTCACATTTGTGAGCACATCGGCGTTGAACGGGATGATAGCCCTCACTCCGGTGTGCCCTGCTGCATCCAAAGCAGCTTGCATGTTTTGGAACGCTGGAAGTGTCGTGTTGAGGTATGAACCGTTGTAGGCCGTCAAGAAGGGTTCATTGCCCACTGCCACCCATCTGAAACCAAAACACGGAGTTGTCAGGTGATTTTTAACTTAAAGTTCTATCGAGAATTGGCAGAAAGATCTAATAGCAACGCTTGCAAGGAATTCGTTGGAGGATATTGAGGGACGAAAACTCACTTGATATCAACACCGCCTTTGAAGTTGAAACGCGTCACGTTCTGCTTCACCCACTCTGTAGCAGCATTAGGGTTATTGGCTAGATCGTAGAGCGCGTAGTTTGGAGCGGCGACCATAACCTCGATCCCAGAGCCAACCAAGGATTTGAGTATATCGTAATTCGCATCGAAAATCTTTACCTTCGTTACACTGTTCATTTGCAGCAGCTTCACTACATCCTTGGGAGGTAGCGGGTTGAAGGCTTGATTACCCCAGTTCACTCCTAATCCGCCAACACAAATTGCAGCACTTGCCGTCATCGAAAGAACCAGCAACGACAGCAATGCCACCCTCGCCATTGCTGCTCTTCCTGGAACCTAACTACAGATTGACGATGTATAATTCGGACAGAATCCAACCCCAGGTACTAGCTACGAACTTGTCGGCAATGGTCGGTGCAGTGAGTTATTGACAAAAGTCTCCCTTAGCTGTCACTCATGCAATGGAGTTCTAATATTTGTTGCTCACTACCTTCAAGTGCGATTGACGGTGGAAATGTTATGCCAAATGCAAGCAGACTGTTGTGATCCCGTCATCCGTAGCTGTGAATACTATATACTACACGCCGAAAAAGAAACTTCAACACACGCCGCAGCGAGAAGGCGCAAAACAAACTACCGATTCTGAAAACGCCGTAAAACTCACAAGTCCTGGTTTGTTTTTCCTGATCCAGAATGCAACACCAGATTTCTTCCAAAGGTTACAGATTCAGCCACTAAACACACAGTACTCAATGTTTTTCGAACAGCAGAAACTACGAAAACTACAACTTCGATCTAAAAGCAAAAAAACTGGCCGAAATAGGTTGACCCTGAACCGCTTAGACAAAATGGTAATGCAGAAGAAGCTACCCGACTGCCCACTTATCTTTTCTGAGCGGCAAATAACTGTTCAGAGCCGAACGTACGTGTAACTCATCTGATGAGCCTTTCTTCAGCGTCAAAAGTTACATCAAGCGAATCTACAGCTAGACTTGGTAAACTGCTTAGAAATCTGAGGACCTCATGTAAGAACTAATCGTATTACACAAGCCTGCAGGAACGCAACGAATAGCCTTGAGCTGCTTCGCGTATTACCACCTGGTAGGTTTGAATCTCCGGGGCTCACCTGCCCGTAATTTTGTTACAAGTCAACCGCTGGATCCTAGGATAGACACAAATGCATGTGTGACCTCCGCACGCGGTTTGAGGATGACCTTGACCAATTCGGAACCGAAATCAGCAAGAATGCGACAATCGAAGTGGGTTATAAGTGGGTTAGGAATGTCTGAAACTCGTCGTATAGGTTCAAACTTTGCTCGGGAACCATATGTCCTGCATATTCCTCATACTCTACAGTACAAATCCAGTAAAATTCACCGAATTCCGGAAACCGCCTTAAACTAGTTGACAATGAATTGTGTCAGGGTTGGCGCAGTGCATTCGTGTCCCAGCCTCAACTCCTGCTTGCGCCAGCAACTACCCCGAGCTCGTAATATGAGATTGGATTTGCCATGGAAGTTACTCGCCTCACGTTCTCTCTGACAGGATCGGTAATTTAAGTATCACCTGGATCGATTCACCTCGCAGCAGCTACTCCATCACTTTCAGCCACTATTTCAAATAGCAGTTAACTAATGGATACAACTCACAACTGTACATGTGTCTCTGAAGGCACTTTTACCTTCACATCACAAGCGCAAATTTAGAATCCTAGACCTTCACTCGCGTACAGCAACATCTTCTGGTCGGTCTGCTTCTCACTCAATGCCGAAACAAGATGGACCTAATCTCTCTGCGTTTCCCAGTTCCGCGATGGCGACTCAGTGCGTAGCGGCTAGAGAACCGAAGTTTCACCTAGGGACCGGTAGATATTACTGGGAAGACGCGGCACCAGAGCAACCCACAGTCCTGCGCCCCACATTCCACCGCGTTCGCACAAGTGTCAGTCGGCATCGGCCGCGCTTTCATGATTCACTTGGGTAGGTGAAGCCACACTGCAGAAGATTCTGGGGCCACGCAACTTAAGAAAAACGGTAGGGTCCACCGGGTCAACACCCACTAGACGCCATGAGCTGTCGAGAGGAGCCGTTCAGCTGAGAGCACGCACACACCGCATCTCGGAGCTCAGATCGGAACTTTCTCATGCGAGCGCGGCTTCCAAGAAGCCATTCACCCACCCTCACCACGCAGCTCACCGCACAAGTGCTTCTACTGAGCTCCGCAGCAGCGTGTGTTGTGAACTGCAATGCGACGACACAGATTGAGTCCACAGTGAAGCCACACCCGGGATGTAGCACCAATAGCCTCACACGCACACAGGCAGGCACGCAGGCAAGCAGGCGCTGCCCTGAAGGTCTAAATCTCTGCTCAAGCGTCATCCTTGTGATCGCACCCACCCGCATTTGCCTCGGGAAATGGTACCTGCAGCAGAATTCTGTCGAAATCACGGTGAGCCAGCCCATGTTGCTTTACTCCTCGTGTGTGCAGCAAGTTGCCCCTCCTGCTATCGATAGATATAGAGATGGAAAGTATCTGTAGACACCAAAAGTTATCTTTGATTCAGTTTCATAATAAATGTTTTTTCCCCTTTTTTATTCGTTTCTTTTTCTGATATACCAAAGAGTTGAAATCACTGTGTTACTGTTTACCAATTTTTTTTGAAGTGGGATTTGAACCGCCGACCTCTCTTTTCACAGCCTACCGTTTTTATACAGTGGGTAAATATGATAATAAAAAGTGGCAAGTAAATTTTTTTCCGTGTTCATTTTTTTCCTCCATTTGGTTCACCTAGAGATACGTCCCTATTTATAGTTATTTTTATAACTGCAAATGCTTTTTAGCTATTCATTGACTTTGATGGAGTTGAGACCATTAAATGTAGCCGGTGCTCTGCATAATATTTGCTCTAGTTTACAGTAAATATTGTAGCTATAGTGTTTGGAATGTAGTAGGAAAAAATTGTTTATATTTTCCCCTTCTCTTTGTATATGTGAAATAACCATATCAATATACTCCTCTCTTGTGTGTTTTGTATGTGTTTGGACATTACTTCTAATTTTCTTGTATCTTTCTCTAAAGCATTCTCAACAATTTATCAATACAATTGCTCTTATGCACTAGTCTTGGTTCTTAAAAACTTATATGCACTTTTATCCTTCACTTTCTCATCTTTTTTTTTCTTTTCCTAACTTGTTGCAAATATACTATGATGTTGCTATTGTGTTGTATTGCTACTGTGTTGTTGTTGTGCTATGTTGTATTACTAATTGCTGCTATTGTGTTGTTGCTGTATTGTTGTATTGCTGCTATGTTGTGTTTCATTCTATCCTACTATATTGCTATTATAATGTATTATTGTTACGTTGCACCATATCCTAATGTTGTACTATTGTTGTGGTGTGTTATACCCTACCATCATTTTTTGCACCTTGACATTGTCTGCCACACTTTGCTAACGTCTATTGCACCTTGCCATTGTCTGCTATACCATGTTGCCGCCTATTCCATCCTACCACTGATTATTGCACCATACTGCCATATGTTACATCTTGCTTCAACATTCTCAATTGCTTCTACTATGTTTTCAACTATCACCATTACATCCCAACATTTTCAAGCTCTTCTATTTCCAGGGTTGGTTGCTGATGGAAATAATTATCTATTATAGGCAAAAATGACAAAAATAAATTTATTTGCAAACAACTCTCTAATGTAATTTTGTTTGAAGAATCTCTTCTTATAAGTACTTCAATTTCTCTTGCTATCTATTGAAAGCACTTCTTTTCTTTTATTGTCATCTTGTACCTACATTGCAATATCAATATTTGAAAATGGAAAATCTACCCAAGTTCTAAAAGAATCTTAAATCTAGGTTTGATCATCAAAAGACCATTTTCTTTCTATGTGTACATCATGATTGGACATATTTACATGTCTTAGATTTTTTAAATTTAAATTCTTTCAACAGTGAAATGTATCGTATTGTCTCACAACTACGATTATATCAACAAAGCATCTCTGAAAAAAGAAATGATTGAGAAAACTCTCTCTATATTTCTTCCTGCATCTGCTATGCTTGTACAACAATATGAAATATGAAATTTCAAAGTCATCTTGATTTCATGTCATATCTATTACTTGTGGAGAAACAAAAAGAGCTACTCTTGTATAATGTGAAATTTTGTCCTATTGGAACCATGGTTCCAAAATCTAATGCACTTAATATTTCAAAGTGTAAGATAAAATTATACAAACATGAAAAAAAAGCTCTTAAGTACCAAGTTAGTCATAGTCATGACCATTTTCATCCATATAGAAAGAATAAACACTCTACAACTAATTACAATTGAAAACAAAAATTAGAGATGCATTCTTGCAATAAATGTGGAATGATTGGACAATTGGCATATACATGCTATATTTTAAAATACTTTATTAAAATATTCCAAAAAAATAAGAAACTTTGAACTGAGGCTCATGAAGTTCATACCATAGATATGTCCATGGACTCAATTGGTGTTGATGATTTAGAGGCTTATATGAATGACAAAACTCTAATGATGAGACAAATAATAAGCTCATTGATTTTGTAACAACACATACTATCCTATGAAATAGACAATTTTTTTATTAAAAAATCTTCAACTTGGCAAACTAGAATTTTATAACTATGGCTGGAGCGAATGTATTTTGTTTCCAAAAAGAAAGAACAATGATAAAATTGTGTGCAGGCTCTATGATAAAATGTAAATATGTAATGTTTACACCCTTAGCACCTTGGAGTCTGAACAACTACTAATATGTGTGTACCAATGGTTATCACCTCTCAATTGCAATTCTAAATATGTAAGAGATTTTGGTTTTTATATAGAACCATAAATTTGTAGAAAAAGCCTTAGTTGTGACAAATGGTTTATATATGGTTGTAATCCAACCTCCTATTATATTTAATTTTAGATCATATATAACAAAGAGTCACGTTTCTTTTTGGCATAGATAATTAGAACATCCATGATCTACATTATTTCAAAAGATAATTCCATGTATAGTTGAGCATAATTTAAAACATGTAGATGTAGATTCTATGGAATTATGTCATGCATGTAAGTAAGGCAAGATGATTGCTTGGCTTTAATTTGGAAACTCCTATGAAAGTTACCACCAATGCTTAAAAGGTTGTGTGGTGATATTTGTGATCCTATTCATCCAATATCTAGACCATTTCATTATTTTTTGGACCTTTTTGATGCATTAGGCAAACAATCACATGTTTTATTATTATCAATCCAAAACATGATGTTTCTTAATCTTATATCTATGCTTAATTATTTTCAAGCATATTTTTTTGATTATCCTATGAAAATATTGTGTATGGATAATACAAAAGAATTTGCATCAAAGACTTTTGAAGACTATTATACTACAACATAAATTGAATTTCCATATTGTATTCCATATGAACATGCTCAAAATGGACTTTCAAAGTCATTTATAAAGCGTATATATTCATTATGTGACCACTCCTTCTTCAAGCAAATTTACCTGCATATATGTGAGGTCATTTAGTTTTGAATGTTGCAGCATTAATATACCTTTATCCTTCTTCTCTTGAAATTATTATACCACAAGAGCTCATTTTAAGTCGTATTTCAAATGTAACTCACCTATGGGTGTTTGATTGTGGTATTTGGATTTCAGTACCAAAATCTCAATAGTTGTCAAGGACAAAGACTCGATGAGGAAAAATATACATCAAAAGGCTATCTCGATATAATAAGTCAAAATATAAACAAGTAGGTATATTAAAAGGAAACTGGAATGGCTATTGCCACAAGACAAGAAACTAAAGACTCTTGAACCTGGACTAGAAGCAAGAAAGGAGTTGACAAGAGTGAAGAAGCCTTCACTCTTGTCTCTATATATACTATCTAATTAGGGGCTACGTGGCGACGTTCTATAGGACCTCCAATATGTGTTGACTTTGTAGGACACATGCCTTGACTTACAAGGCAAGTTTTTCTACGTGTGGGCCACATAGTTAGCTTGATCTTCAAGCTAACAACATGTGTGGCACATGGCCAACTTGTTGACCACGTTTCTAATCCAAAAATTCAATTAAAGACACCTATGAAGTCAAAGCAGCGTCTAGGAAGTTTCTAGGAAGCTTCTATATTAAATATTATAGAATTAACTTATTTTTATCTACTTTTACTTACTTCTACCTATTTCTATATGTAATTATTAGCTTACATGATTATGGCCGTGACATTACCCCCCCTTCTAGAGACGAGTTCCACGAGGAGCGGTCATCATATGTTTTGATTCATCAAGTATTATTCATATTGTTGATCTATCAATTCACACATTATTACATGCACATTTTTGAAATTGCCATTTTGAAGAAAATATATTTCCATCTCTTCAAAGAAGAGTATTTAATCAACAAAAAAATATAATATCTATATTTGGAGTATAAGAAATATTTACAATGAATCCTGATCTTACAACATCTTTGGCTGAAATTGAAGTTGTCAAGATTTTGTATATAAAATAGATCACAGATGAAATATCTAATGGCCTCAATGATGCACCTCATATTACAAGAGTTTAATTAATGAGGCTTAGAATGAACATGCTCAGATTGCAATACTACCAACTAATATATTTTAGGTTAAAACATCAAAAATTAAAATGACTAGTGGACCAAATAAGCAACCACGAAAGAAGAAGGCTATAACATGTGGTGGTTCTAATATTATTTCTGTGGAAGTTCTTAATAAATTTATGGGACTATCAATTAATGATAATGTGTCCAAAAAAATTATACCTTCACTTCATATAATATAAAATCTTAAAATTATAAGGAATAAAATAAAATAAAATATATAATTATTTATTCTATATTATATTACAAATAACATTTGGAATAGACCATCTATTATAATAGATGAATCATTTGCATTCAAGATTGTAGAAGCTCTTTCTTATTAAAAAGAGGATCATAAATATCAAACCATCTACGAAGCAATGCATTGCTCTGATGATGAGATGAACATTATAGCAGATTATTTGATCTTTAGCATCTCACTTCTGTACTAATATCATTTTATATACCATAGGTCAAGAAGTAAGAATGTCTACAATTAGACCAAAGATTTTTCTCTTATGCAAAGAAGCATATTCTTTCTCAATGGCAATTTTCTAAATATTTTCAGAATATTTATATAAAAATTTTACTTAATTTAAAAATAAGAATTCCAAAAGCATCTACTCTAAGACAATATTATGGTATTAAATTACACAAGGTCTTATATAGTCTAGATCAATCTAGACACATGTGATTTCAATGTCTTTGAGATTATTTAATTATAAATAAGTTTATAAGTAATCTACTAATTCCTTCTTTGTTTATCAAACAAGATAAAATTAGTTTTGTAATCATCATTGTATATGTTGATGATCTTAACCTAGTAGATACTAGATCTGCATGTGTTGTAGCTACTAACCTATTTATCTATGAGCTTCAGATAAAAATGTTAGGAAAAAAAACTTTCTACATTGGTCTTCAGATTATGCATCTCACAAATGGTGGCATTTTTTTCTACCAACTAACATATATTAGACAAATCTTATGGAGATTCAATATAATTGATAATTATCTATTGTCAACACCAATGATTGGGAGTGGTGATGATGGTCATGATCCAATCCGTCCATGCAAGGAGGAGGAGGAAATATTGGAAGATCAATATCTATACCTTGTAGCAATTGAAGCACTTTTATATTTATCTACATCTACAAGACTAGATATTACATTTGCAATTAGTGTTCTTGCAAGACACAATGTATGTCCAACATTATAACATTGGAATAGCATCAAACATTTATTGTATTATTTAAAAGACATTGAAGATTTAGAATTATCTTACTTATAATCTACAAATCCAAAATTGGTTGGATATTTTGATGCGAGAAATAAATCTAATATTGCAATAACTAAATCTCAAACATACTATATATTCTTAAAACATAGAGTTGTAATATCATAGAAATCAATGAAACAAACTATAACTGTAACTTCATTCAACCATGATGAAATTATTGCTTTACATGAAGCTTCTCAAGAATGTATTTGGTTGCGATCAATTGATAAACTCATTCAGATAATCTATAGACTTTCATGTGATGATTCTCCAACTGTCTTGTATGAAGACAATAGCACTTGTGTTGTATAGATGCAAGTTGGTTTCATTAAAGGCAACAAGACAATGCATATTGATCCAAAGTATTTTAATTATATTCATGATTTGGTTATTAATGAAGTGCTTAAGATCAAGAAAATTAAATCTGCAAATAACCTTGCTGATTTCCATACCAAAGCTCTTCTTTTGAGCAACCATTGCCAACTTACTTATGGCATTGGCATGCGGCAACTTACTTTTCTTGAACAAGAAAGTTAATGAACTTTTAAAATAATGTTGTGCTCTTTTTCCTTCATCTATGGTTTTGCCCTTAAAAATCAATAAGGTTTTCTTAGATAAGGTTTTAATGAAGTAGTAGTTATTGATCTTGTAAGATTATAGAAAAGTATAGATCATAATTCTATGCATATTTTATATTATATAAATATTATAACAAGCAAGGAGGAGCATTGAGAGCATTAAATGTAGCCAGCCCTCTCCATAATATTTTCTGTAGTTTATAGTAAATATTGTAGCTAGAGTGTTTAGAATGTAGTGGAGAGAAACTATTTATCTTCTCTCATTCTCTTTGTATATGTGAGGTAACTATATCAATATACTCCTCTCTTGTGTGTTTTGTATGTGTGCACATTACTTCTAGCTCTCTTGTGTCTTTCTCTAAAGCATTCTCAACAGATGGCCTTCAAATCTGAGCTCCCTATTCATGCATTTTGTTGTTGTTTAATCTGTGTGCAATGTTCTTTGTTTTTGTGTACTTGATGATGGAATTGGAAGTAGTAGGATGAAAAAGATGTGGGGACAAAGAAAACAAGACTGGAACTAATGGTGTTATAGTTCAAGGTGGATTGATGTTTGTATTTTAATTTTTAAAATATTATTCATCATTTTTTTTTTATTTTGAACAAAAATAATAAGATAATAGCTTCAAAATTTTAATAATGTTCATCCTTGCAATTCAGAATTATTGGGATTTTTTTATGTTGTGCGAGTTAAATCTCAGTATGAATCATCTTACAATAGGTAGTGTTTTATTTGAATTCTACAAAAACAATAATTAAAATGATCATCATGTAAGTAGAAAACACACACACACACATACCAGGTTTTTTACAGGGTCAAGAATCTGAAAAATTGTGATCATTCTGTATACAGTGCTATTTATTTTATATTTTTTTGTAAATATTAATTAAGTAGAATCGCAAGAAATCAAACAAATTTCTAAATTTCACGATTATAATTTAAACCAATTTTTTCTCAATTATAAAACAGCTTTAAATAAGTCTCAATAAGTCTCTCTCTCTCTCTCTCTCTATATATATATATATATATATATGTATACACATATGTATGTGTGTGTATACAAATACATACACAAATATTGTGACATAAATTAAAATAAATATATTATGATGCATATAGAATGTGCATTGAGCAGTCAACTTCGTGATAAGTACAGAACGTGATAAAAGATATATTTCAAAGTGATAAGATATGTTTCAAAATAGAAAGGTAATATTGCAATGAATGATTGAATTAAATTTATTTTATGTGTTAATAATTATATATATAGTATATGTTTCAATTGTCATGACTATTTTGAAGCTATGTATTTCCAACCAATAAAATGATGTACAAAGCATAAATATTCATGTTTTCAAATTATAAAAATATGACAATGGAAATTTCTTAGTAATAGTATAAATATAGAGAAAATGTTAAAGAAAAGAGGATTCAGGTTCGTGTTCTATTCTGCAATTGGCGGGCCTTGTTGGCTTAAGTTAGGACAGGAGCCCAAATCCCGGCCGCCGTCCGGGCAAAGTGTGGGTCATACAAGACGTGCTTAGGCAGGCTGGGCGCTGATCCAGGAAAAGGTGGACAAATATCTGAATGCTGGGATGGTGTCTTTGGTGGATGGATCTCTTTCAGCCCAACTGGCTTTACCAATGTTGCTAATCAACATGCCCATAGAAACACACAAACAACTATGAAGGATGATTGAATTACAATTCTCCTCTCCAGCATGATTTGGGCAACACCCATTTCTTCTAAAACTAGAAACATACCTTTTGAAAGAGGATTCTAAGCTGAGGAAAAACTTGAGTGCACCATTCCAATTTAGATGAGTCATGGCTAAAATTATCTACATAACAAAAGCAACACGCACTAACTAATTAGCTTCAGTAACTTCAAGATTGCATTACATAAATTGTTATTTCAGACAATTGCACACAAATCAGATTCTTCATCGAATTTGTGCACGCTTCCTGAGAACGCACAAACCCTGACACCAACCTCACCAATGAAAAGCCTTGCCAAGTTTTTTCAAATTGCGTGAACCGAGACATGAAAGCATCGAGCAGTCGTACCATCAATCACAGCCATGAGAGGAAACCTCGGCGTCCTCAACGGCTGAAGACGGGCTGGCCGCATCTAGCCTGGAAAACACCGTCTCGCTCGTGCAAACATTAGTAGCCTATGGAGTTTTCATGCTATCTGTTTGAAATGGGATAATTCCAATTTTCATATCCCTGATCATCAAACTCACGTCAGAGGTGGCTCTAAATGCTTACACATGTGCACGTGTACGTAAATATACGAGGCGGATTTTCCTCGTACATCTTCAACCGATACGAGCTCGGAGATGCCCTGCCAAATTGGTCACAACCTTGCCCTCTTTTATGGTTTCTGTACAATTTCCATCATGGGACTTACAGATTCAACCCTCCGCTCAATATCTCACTACAGCGTGGTACAAGTTGAACATCTCATTTTCTAGAAAGAGTCCAGGGATTGCTGCCGGGGCGAGATATTTCAGCCTGCCAAGCCTGAACCTACAGTAGGCACGGCTCTCAAATACCTCACTATAGCTTCACTTCCGTCGAAAACTCATATGAACTTTTCTGGCGACACAGGTAGTCATCTAGAGCTGAAAGGATAATGAAAGTATATAATTACCAATGAGGGAATGTCCTCCAAAATCCGAATTCGATTGGCAGGTGAAGTCCAATGTAATAGAAAACAAAGAAATATTGCCTTCTGCCTAGTGCCAAGACTTGTATCCTTGCTCCCAGAATGCCTACAAACTCCCAATGTCCTCGACTATCTCTCCAAATGGAAGGTAGTCTTAATGATAACATAAGTAAGCCAGGACTCCATTCGCATTATGAGAATCACAAACATGCTGAAATCACACGCCACTATCTGTGTTATGATTGCAATTCCTGCATTTTCCTACCATCATCCTGAGTCTGCATACTCGAGATGGAGAACCTGACGAAGTCCATAATCAGAAAATCTAACAAAATGCGTGCGAGGGGAACTTCTTCATTCCTGCTCCTGTTAGGAATCGTATACAACTACAGCATAAGATTGGCATCTATAAAATCATATACTCAGCATTACTCTCTTCCTGAGAGAATGGAAATCAGAGAAAGAAAAAGAAAAAGGAAGAAAGGTTGTACACTAAAAAAGAACAGGCACCGCACTAATACGAGCAGCAGGCAGTCGTCCTTGGAGTCGTGTCATCAGAACCCGCTAGCCTTTGACCACTTGCAACAACAGTATTACCCTTATTAGGATCTGCAGTTAGAGCTTTCTTGCTAACAATCTTGTGAATCTCTTTCAGAACAGTCTGGAAAGCTTCAACTACATTCACGGCCTCCAGAGCCGATGTCTCCATGAAGTACATAGTATTTTTCTCCGCAAGAGCTGTCGCTTCCTCTGCGGTCACCTCCCGTATGTGTGCAAGGTCGCTCTTATTTCCAACAAGCATCACAACAACGTTCGCGTCGGAATGGACTGCAGCAGCCAAAACACAAAACCAGCAATAGCACATGAGAAGGTTTACAAGGATCCAAAAAAATTACCTGATGCAGCTGCTCTTGGTCATAGAGATGATAGATACATCAGGTAATTCAACAACAGGCACCCTGGACATTGGAAGAACTCGATTCATACGAGCCGTTGCAGAACTGCAACTTTATAAGTACTCACTTCTATGAATTTACATCGTGCATTAACCAAAGGATCGAAACCACAAGATGTTCGGAGAGAACTACATCCAGAACAAAACCATAAAACTTTACCTCGATCGAACATGAAGAAGAAACACTGTGAGGAGAGATTGACACAAGACTATCTGGTTGGTTTCTACATTCATCAGGGGTTTCACCGACTTTACAACAAGAAATTACCATAGAATGCGTTAGTTCGCAAGCCAAACTGAGGGCGAAGATCGCAATGTACTAATAATGGAAGGTCACCGGTTCTCGAAGGCTTTTACAAAGTACATAAGAGACCATGGCGAATGAAAAACAACAGTGAGTACTACGCCGGGAAAGATGTACAAGAATGCTATAGAAAAAAAACACGTAACGTTGAGAGGCAGTTCCGCACAAACGATTTTCGGACTAGCACTTGAGATTTGAACTAAAGAGTGCAGGTTGGACCAAAATACTAAGGTAACTTTTCTGCAATTTTCCGCAGGGATCTCATCGCAGCAATTCATTGCCAAACATAGGCTTAATCTGAAGAAAACTCCGCCTATGGTATCGATTCGACACGGTCAATTAGAACGCAGTCCCAATGAACGTTTAATAAACTATTTTTTCCAAATAAGCGGTCTCAAGCACCAAAACCAACATATATCACCATGCCTCTTCCGTTTCCAGACATCTCAACATTTCACGGCCTTCCTTCTCAAGGCTAGGTACGAATTCACCGCCGACACTCAACATTACGATCTACACAACGTTACTCATCTTAACAGAACCATGAAATCTAATCACGTAGCTTCCCACACCAGTTCTCTGAACTTGGTCGCTGATCATTGCATAACTGGACACTAAAATACAATGCTGTGAGAAAGAATTAGGATTAAAAAATAAACGAAAGAAGAGGCCGCTTCCTTTTGGAATATTCCGGACCTAAGAAGTGCGTTTGAATTTTTAATGTAAGTAAATAAATCACCACATTACAATTTGGTTATTTTTGTTTGAAATCCAGTACGACATAAGGAAGCAACTGACTAACCTTTCAGTTCGTCGAACCAGCGACTGACATTCTCGAAAGTACCGCGACGAGTGATGTCGTAAACAATGAGCGCCCCTACAGCACCACGGTAGTAGGCGGAAGTGACGGCGCGGAACCGTTCCTGGCCAGCAGTGTCCCAGATCTGGGCCTTCAGCTCTTTGCCATCGATTTCCATAGATTGCGTTTGGAACTCCACCCCGATGGTAGCCTTGGAGTTGGAGTTAAACTCGTTTCTCGCATACCGCGACAGCAAGTTAGATTTTCCGACGGCGCTATCCCCAATAAGCACCACTTTGAACAGGTAGTCCTCACTCTGCTCATCCTGATACGACATAGCTGGTGCTGCTGTCTCAAACCCCTGAAACAACACCAGAGCAAAGCTCACACAGTGCGGTCACCCCGTCTGCATCACAACGCCAACTATGAACGGCTTAGACGCACGTCGAGATTCGGTTAAGACTACAGGACGAACCGTGAGGCCAACGCAACATCAACCATGTTGTCCTCACGGTAACTAGAAATGCTGCAGACAAGCATGAGGGATTGAGCTGCAACGAGCACAATGCGGACGAGACGTCGGCGTCCGATTCCTGCGAGTGCCGCCTTCAGCTGAGGAAACAGGCGCCGAGAACAATCCGTTTGGATGATATATATTCATTCATCTCTGGAGCATCCACATCCATTCGAATTAAAGCGGCGCTGATTGTGTTTGAACGGGCAAACGACTCTGGGCTGGACCGTCCTATTCAATGCGCTTTCTCACATGATGTGGTCTCAGCTGCTCAAAATAATATATTATACATAAATTCAAATACATAATATAATTTCAACTCTATTCTATCCACAAACCTACAGAAATACAATCCCAGTTCTAAGAAAAATATTTGACATCAATATTTTTTCCCATTGTTTAACAATGAGTCAACCAAAGAACGATTTAAAATAATGTTAAACAGAGTTCTTTTTTCGACATTTGTGAAAAGTTAATGGATTTAAAAAATAAAAATAAAAGTCAAGTGTATCATCCATGCATTGTTGGTTGAGTGCAAAAGCTCCAGATCAGTGATTCTTCCTGAAATTTGTGAAAATTGGCAACAGATTTATTTAGCAGGCTCTTGAAACGATTTGACATCACCTTCTCCTGTCTTCCTACTAATCTCATCTTGACAATATAAGTTGAAGCTCCCCAACCACAACACAAAATCCAAAAAAAAAAAAAAAAAACAAATAACATAAAACAAGATGACCTAGCCTAGAATGAGGACATCCACACTTTAGTATAGGAAAAAAAAAAAAAAAAAAAAAAAAAAAATACTTTATATAAGATCATGTGTTGTCCTATTGTAACATGGCTATTGGATGAAATAGAAAAATATGGATTATATTATAGAAGAGCTTAATTGAAGAATATAGCAGTGAATTACTTAAAATAAATATAAATAAAAAAATTTAGATGGTAGTAAATACATTTAGTATTTATGTTGTTTTTATATAAAAAGAGCTTCTACTTACTTTTTAGGCCCATAAACAAGAAAAAAAATAAAAAAATGGATTAAAAAAAATAATATTTTAAGCATTTTTAGGTCAAAGTGAAGAATAGCTTGTGGCAAACATTACCTAAAAAAACTAGAGATTGAAATTTATAAAGGACTAGTTATGAACCAAAGTTGAACTCAATTCCAAAGCACAAAACTACACACCTATAGTAATTGTGGACTTCTTTGGTTGATTAGAGAGCAAGATTAAGAAGTAAACTTTATAAGATTTGTTAAAGCATTAGTTTTGAGTGATTTAGGCAAATATTGACTTTGTCAAAGCTTTGCAAAGTTAGGGTTGTTTTAAGTGATTTGCAATTTTGTGAAATTAAGAAAAGATTTAAATTTTGAAGAATTTAGTGAGCATTATAACAAATCAATAAGTGGAAATTTGTGAGGTTGTAAAACTACATGTTTTAAATATCTTCTCTAAATTTGAGATTAATCAAATAGTAATTTAATAGTAATTAAATTTAATTGGATTAGTGACTCAAAAAATAGAGTTTAAGGATTAGTGAGAGTTTTTATAATTTTGAGTAATTTTCTAATTGGATTAAAATTGGTTTTTATTAGCTAGTGGTCAATTTTATTTTTAATATTTTTGCATACTTTTAGGGCAAGTAAACAATACAATAAAGAGTGATTTTTGGTGGCATATTGACATTAAGATTAAAAAAGGATGATGGTCAACATCCAAGCATATTAAGATCTTTTATTCCAATCTATGAATTCAATTCTTTTTAAATTTTGTACGCTTGTTGTTAATTAATAGATTAAAATGTGTAATTTTTTTAAAGAAAGATTAATAGTTTGATTAATAATTATTGAGATTTAAAAAATTATTATAAAATTTTATTAAAATTGATTATATATTTCTTTTATTTTGATTATGATTTATTAGGATTAATTAATATTTACTTAGGATTTAATTAGAAATTATTAAGATTTACTTAATTTTTTTGGGATTTTTTAATAATTTCATTAAATTAATTTTAAGGAATTTTCTAAAGATTCTTTATAATTTCTTTAGGCTTTTTTATGATTATTTTAGAATTTATTATTATTATTATTATTATTATTTATAATTACTTTAAGATTTTTTAAAGATATGATTGGATTTTAAGTTTTCTTTTGTTTTTCTATTTCTTTGTTAAGTTGTGGTCTCAAAAATTGTGTTCATGAGTATTGGTTTAATTTGTTGTATTTTATGATTTACTATTTTATTACCTTTTGGTATTTTAATTTCCATCTCTTATATTTTATTTATATATATTTTTATTTCTAACTTTGAATTATGCTTCTAATTTATTCCATCATCATCATTATCAGCCATTTTTTAAAAAAATATACAAACTTAAAATATAGGACTTCTTTTCCCTCTTTACTTACCTCTTCTTTCTAATTGTAGTTATCCATGGATCCATCCATTTCACTAGATGTGAGGGAGATGGGGTGGTTTTGCACACCAATATTTTTAGCTAGGAACATACTTGGTTGGCCCCAACATCAACATGCACTGATATTGGAAAGTTGAAGGAGATCCAAAAAAGAAGATGAGAGCACCATTTGATAGTAGAGAAGGTAAAATGAATAGATGGACAATTTGTTTGATTGAGATGGTTTAACTAGTTGTGGTGAAAGAAATGAGTTGAAGAAGAAGGATGAAGAATGGAATGTTGGTTGTAAATTGCAAGTTGGATTAGTAGGCAAAGAAATACAAGGCATATGTTAGTCCTTTGTAGTTGGGTGGAAGAAAGAGCAGGGCTGTTATAGACAAAAAACTGAAGAAGGTTCTAAAAGGTTCTAAGAAGATTTTTGTAGATCTTAGAAGATTTCAAAAGATTCAAAAAGGTTCTAGTAGATTCTAAGAAGTTTTTAGAAGGTTCTAATAGATTCTAAGAAAGTTCTAAAAAGTCATAGGAAAGCCTAGAAGGTTCTAAGAGGCTTTAGATGATTTATAAAGTTGCCAAAGAAGGATCTTAGGCTTGCTTTATTTCCAAGCTTCATAGAAACTTATGAAGAAGCTTTCTAGGTCCTAATATATATAGGAGTCAAAGCTGAAAGGATCCTCAATCTCGATAACTTACTTCTTATGGTCTAGCTAAGACCTTCTTGTCTTGTATCAAATTATTATTCTAATGTCTAGCTAATTCCATTTCTTGATCTTGAATCCTTGTCTTATATATGATTCTTAATAGTTTGTCGAGACATCCATAAAATAATATTAGAAGCTTAGTCTTTTTTGACAGGGATTGAATTATCCTTCTTTTTGGAAATACTATAGCATTCTAGAGGTTGTGGATTACCTTCCCCTAGATTAATATTATTCTTTTTTTAATATTCTTTTGGTTTTTTTTTTGGATATTTTTTTTTGGATATTTTTTTTATATTATAGATCAAGGTTTTTATTTTTATTTTATTTTATTTTATTTCTTTTGAATGCATGTGTTTCTTTGATTTTCTATAGCAGAAGGTGAAAAAATCAATATGACAAACTCTAAAGAGATCAAATTGGATTCTATTATTAATACTCTTAAAGCATTGAGGATCAAGATAGAGACTTTGTCAAAACAGAATGAAGAACTATATATGACCATACATAATGGTCAAGGAGCCGAAATGCTTCAACAACCACATAAAATGGCAATAGAGATTTCAAATTCTCAAATAATTATGTTTGCTTTAACAAACATGCAAGGTGTATCTACTCAAGACAATGATCTAACATCAATAACAATAAAAGAATTAAGGATCAGCCTTCCAAAAAAGTTCAATGATACTCGCTGAAAAGTTTGAAGCTTTGTAAATCAAGTACAACCAATCAACTTCCTTCAACCTTAATGATATTCCACTGAAGGATCTTATGTTGGTTTGGTTGGAACCTTGCTCTCAAATCAAGCTTTATCTTAATTCGCTCCATTATTTGAAAAAAATTATCTTATATTATACAATTTTGAAGCATTTTTGGCAATGTTTGCAAAAGTATTTGATGAACATGATAAGGTTTATTTTTCAACAACTAAAATTTGAAGCCTTTAACAAAGAATACATTTTGCATCAATATATGCTTCAGATTTTTGACAATTAGCATGTAATATAAATTGGAAAGAAGATGTATTGATGAGCCAATTTCATTGGATATTAAGAGACGATATCAAGGACTTATTATTGTCTATGTCAGACCCTCAAATACTCAATGAAGTCATTAATTAAGCTATGAAGTGTAATAACTATTTATTTCAACAATAACAAGATAAATATTCTTTCATTATGCCACATATATACACCAATTATTCTATAGCTTCTTCACAATCCAATTCTAATGAGCATTTGGAAGTAAAAGATATGTAGATTGATGCAGTTTGCTTGAAACCTCTTTTTGAGCAAGAAAAAAAGTGTCAAAAAGAACGTGGCCTATGCTTATATTGTAAAAAATCTAGCCACAAGGTTAATAATTATTCAAAAAAATATTAGCATACATATCAAATGAGGAGTGTGGCCACATCATCAAAAGTGTTGTAGGAAAATGAAGGCGTTTAACTATAGTAGAGATTGTGCAACTAGATTCTTCACTATCACAAATCAAAAAAAGTCTAGTACTCTCTAGTAGCCCTTCTTGTTGTTTTACTATATCTATACAATTAGGAGTCACAAATTTAGAGTGTCGTGCATTACTTGACTCTGGAGCCTCTGCATATTTTATTGATAAAGAATTTTTTAGATCACACAAAATTTGTATGATCAAAAAATCCAAAGCCATATTTGTAGAAGTAATAGATAATCAACCATTATTCCTTAGAGATGTCACTCATGAAATAATTCTATTAGAAATAACCTTTGATAACCATAGCAGCCAAGATGATCATCAAGTCCAGTCATTTAAGAATTTTTATAGCTTCAAAAATATAATCCATGGATAGATTGGGTATCCCAAAAGTTAAAATTTCTTCTAGTAGATTATAGAATCTCTAGATCTATAAAAAAGCTTCTAACATCCGACAAGCCAAAACTTAAACAACATTTATTTATTCGAGCTAAAATATTTATGAAGGCAGTAAATAAGGCACTA